AGACCACCCATCAAAGGAGTCATCTCAGGGGTGACGACGGATGTTCAGGTCGAACACCTGAAGGGAATTCCTGGTGTGGTTGGTGCCCGGCGTCTGACACGTTTGGTGAATGGAGAAAAATAAGAAAGTCTGTCGGTTATGTTGCTTTTTTATATAGAGCAAATACCAAGCATGAGAAGCGTGGTTGTGTAAGATACGCTGTAAGAGCTTTCTCCCCAAAGCATTGCAGTGTAAGAATTGTACAGGATTTGGCCATGTTTCAAGTGAGGTGCAAATGGACAGAGTACACTGAAGAACGGTGTGTAGAAGGACGGCGGTGTTGCAATTGTGGTGGGGATCATGATCCCGAGTTCCTAGCGTGCCCTGTAAGGGTGAAGGAGATTGAGGTAGCAAATGTTATAGCGGCCAATCGAATCTCCTATGCGGAGGCGATTCAAATAATTGAGAAAACAAGTGACGCTAGTGAAGATATGATAGTGGCCTGTAGTAAATATTTGCTGCTAGTCAAAAGATACCATGTGTGTTAAAAAGGTCGATTTCATGGCATTCATTGCCATAGTTATGAACTGTATGGCACAAGTCTCAAAGAAGTCTAAGAAACTGGACATTGTATGTGGGGCAGAAAATATTTTGGGACTTGCATGGGGTACTGGCGCCGGAAGACCCGCCCTCCCAGGTTGCCCTTGAGCCTGTGTAGCGATCAGATCTGTTTTATTTTTTTACAGAAAAGTTGTTTGATTTAGTTTAGTTTATGTATTTATTTTTGGGTCGTTTTTGAGGGGGAATCCTGTTTCCATCCCGTACAGAAGGTGGCGGGATGCACATTACATTGTGCGATCGCCAATATACCATAGAAGAAGAAACAGAACATGTAAGGTATTTTGACTATAAGCAGTAACGTGCTCCTTTAGTCCATTATTGGGCTAGGCATAGCGATGACAACACTGTGAAAGCAAATTGAAACATTGTAACAATATCGTTCGTGGAATTTCACCGGGATACGTATGCATTTATTACAAGAATCGGTAGAATTCCTTTGTGAACTGGAACACATTTGTAGCGAGTTGGTAAACATGCTAACAGCTTGGATAAACTAGTTCAACAACCACTGTTGACAAGTTGTTGCCCGAATGGCTAAACTCCTGAAGGCTACTCCAAGTTCCTACATTGTAGTCAGGTTGCCAATAACAATGTCTTTATTGGTAGCATATGAATGGTTTATCAAAAAATAAGACAATGTATAGCTAAAATCCCTTTTTACCTTGTATACATCTCCGTAGGTCCCGCTTCCAATTCTCTGTATAAGCTCGAAATCCTCTTGCGGATTTCGCCTTGAAAGGTCGAAAGTGGAAGCCATTTTTAGGTCCCCGGTTTCCTTATCCAGTCGTTATAGTTGTTGGGACACTGACACCACAAATAACGACAAACATACAATATAAACATACGTCGTCAGAAAAAATCACAGCCTGACTTCACTGTAACTTTAACATGGCCTCCTCTGCGCACAGCGCGTGCGCCGCAGCCAGCTGGCTTGTCTAAGAGGAAAATGCAAGGAATGGGCGACAAGAGGGTGGGTCGCTGGCTGACTGGGGTCTCCGGTAGAATTCTGCCACTGGGCACAGATCTAGGATCAGTTTAGCGTCCACAAATTCTCAGTTGTTGGGGGTGAAACGCTAAACTGATCTGAAACCTGAGTTTAGGAGCGACTGGTTTGGTTTTGTGTAGCCTACAGAAATCTCTTTGACACGAGGATCATGAATACCCCAGTAATTCTCTACTTGTTTACAGCTGGATCCTTTCTTCTCATTCTCACAAACATCCAGAGTTGGAATAGAGTAGAACAGAATAGAATAGAGTAGAATAGAATTTGAGAATTAGGAAAATTAAGATCATAAACTTGGAAAAACGATCTTATGAGTTTGATTATATCAATCAATAATTATGGTATAATTAAGCAATAAGCCCCGAGTTGCCTTATTGCTATTATAAACTGGTAACCAATGTAATTAGAGCAGTAAAAATAAATGTTTTGTTGTACCCCTGGTATACCACGGCTGTCAGCCAATCAGCATTCAGGGCTCGAACCACCCAGTTTATAATAGATAATATGCTGCATTAGGCTACTATATTGATACATTGTTTTACTTTTCAGTGAAACTTGAGAGCACACAAAGTAATCCCCATACAATCATATTGTGTAAATGTATTATAATCTATTACCTTGTGAGCAAGAATTACTAAGCATTTGTGCATGTGGAAAGTTTGCAATAAATGTATTATTACTTACTATTTTATTGAATTTATTATTGTACAGTACTATTAAAAAGTCCTTATTACTGAATGGTGGCAAAGTGACTAATATAAAGCCAATGCGTTATTACACTTGACCATATCACACATCACTCTTATTCTTAATTTCCCTTTATGTCCTGCCTTTGTGTAATTCCCTCCAGAGAAAAAACAGGTGTCACTAGATGGATCTGTCCCTACTCCCTAGGCCTATACTAATCTGAAAATAGGAATGCACAGCACAAAAATATATTCAACAAAGACAATGGCCCACACAATGTGAAAGTAACCTTTTCTAATGCTCTGCAGTGTTATTTTGATCAAATTACTTCATTTACTGTAATTTGTACCAATTTGGTCAACCTAGCAAATGTGCCAATTTAATTGCTCAATGTTTTCCCATGTCCACTCCACCAGTACAGATTGCAATCACTGTCATCACCATTTACATGTTCATTTATGCCATTTTTGTCATGCCAGGCACACATCCAGGCTCCATTTTAATGGGCAATTATTAGAGCTGACAAAGGCGCAGATAAAACAAGCCAAATAAACACCCACAAATCCATTTCAGCAATGCTCGCTTGGTGGCAATTATTTCATCACTATGAACTCAATTCAGACTTTGATACTGTCACAGAATAGAATTGCAATAGCATGATGCTGAAATGGTTATTGATAATTTGTTTGGGGACTGATTGGGGATTGTTGAAAATCCTGACATTTTGGATATGTCCCCTGAAAGCTTTATGTGCAACAGTATACAGTTCATGAACTCTGTTCATGAGTTCACTTTGATATGGCCATTGTGTGCGTGTGTGTATTTGTATTTGTATTTATTATGGATCCCCATTAGCTGCTGCCAAGGCAGCAGCTACTCTTCCTGGGCTCCAGCAAAATTAAGGCAGTTATTCATTTAAAAAACATTACAATACATTCATAACAGATTTCACAACATATTAAGTGTGTGCCCTCAGGCCTCTACTCTACTACCACATATCTACAACACAAAATCCATGTGTACGTGTGTATAGTGCATATGTTATCGTGTGTTTGCATGCATGTGTCTATGTTTGTGTTGCTTCACAGTCTCCGCTGTTCCATAAGATGTATTTTTATCTGTTTTTTAAATCTAATTTTACTGCTGGCATGAGTTACTTGATGTGGAATAGAGTTCCATGTAGTCATGACTCTGTGTAGGACTATGCACCTCCCATAGTCTGTTCTTGACTTGGGACTGTGAAGAGACCTCTGGTGGCATGTCTTGTGGGGTATGCATGGGTGTCCAAACTGTGTGCCAGTAGTTCAAACAGACAGCTCGGTGCATTCAACATGTCAATACCTCTCACAAATACAAGTAGTGATGAAGTCAATCCCTCCTCCACTTTGAGCCAGGAAAGATTGACATACATATTATTAATGTTAGCTCTCTGTGTACATCCAAGGGCCAGCCGTGCTGCCCTGTTCTGAGCCAATTACAATTTTCCTAAGTCCATCTTTGTGGCACCTGTCCACCCGACTGAACAGTAGTCCATGTGCGACAAAACTATGGCCTGTAGGACCTGCCTTGTTGATAGTGCTGTTAAGAATGCAGAGCAGCTCTTTATTATAGACAGACTTCTTCCCATCCTAGCTACTGTTGTATCAATATGTTTTGACCATGGCAGTTTACAATCCAGGGTTACTCCAAGCAATATAGTCTCCTCAACTTGCTCAATTTCCACATTATTCATTACAAGATTTAGTTGAGGTTTAGGGTTTGGTGAATGATTTGTCCCAAATACAATGCTTTTAGTTTTTGAAATATTAAGGACTAACTTATTCCTTGCCACCCATTCTGAAACGGGGTGTTTTTTAGGCTTAGGGGTTAGGTTTAGGGTTACAATTAGGGTTAGGGTTGGAATTAGGGTTAGGGGTTAGGTTTAGGGTTAGGAGTTAGGGGTTAATGTTAGGGTTAAGGTTAGGGTTAGGTTAAAGGTTAGGGTTAGTTTTAGGGGTTAGTGAAAATAGGATTTTTAATGGGAGTCAGTTGTTTGGTAGCGTGCGTGTGTGTGTGTGTGTGTGTGTGTGTGTGTGTGTGTGTGTAAGAGAGAGAGAGTACTGCGTGTGGCTCACATTTCCTTGAAAGTTGTGTGACGCGCTCAGACAGGTTTCGACCAAAAAGTAATAGAAATTTCCAAAATTGTGTACTGGTCCGCCCCCAAAAAGGGTTTTTTTTTGTATTTATTCTTTAGTAGGTAGATAGTCAAACATTTTGACCCTTTTTGTGTGTGGATGTTGTGTGTTGTGTGCATCTGAGGGGGAGAGAAGAGGGGGAGGGGAGAGAGAGAGAGGAGGAAGAGAGGGGAGAAGAGGAGAGAGAGGGGGGGGAAAAGGGGGGGGAAAGAGGAGGGGGGGGGGGGGGGGGGGGGGGGGGAGAGGGAGTTTTTAAGTTTTCCTTCCTGGGAAAACTGTTGTTTTTGTTTTGGGGGTTGATGTTTTTCCCCCAATTTGGGCGCTTTGGGCCCCCTTTGGGTCACAGGAAAAAAAATTTTTCTTTATGAACCCCTCTTTTTTTACTGACTGGTGAAAAGTTACAACCTTTACATTCCCTCACATGCTGTGTGTCGCCGCCGGGAGATTGTCATTTTCCTCTCCATGCGAATAGGAGTTTTACCCGACTGGGTCACCGACGAAGAGGACACGACTTCAAGCCCAGGTGCTGAGGAGAGGGAAAAAGCGAGAGGAGTGGTGTGGTTTATACAGGTAAACACTAGTAATCTCGACCACAGAGAGGCAAGTGCGGAGCTGAGCCGACACCCAGCACGCCTGCAGGCACCGGACCGATCCACCTGTGTTGTTGTATCTTCCATGTCAGCAACCCGCTGGGTGGGAAGCAGCCAATGCGGTCTCGACTGTGGACCGTGCTCGCAGGTCAGAGGATGCATAAAGATGCTTAGTAACTGGAATAGCAGGTGCTGGAAGAAGGGGCGTCCGACTATCAACACGACTAACCTGTGCGCATAGAGCCGAGCGCTGATGTTTGAGCCATGGAGAAACAAGCTCTTGCAACCGCTCTGAGCTTGTCCATGAGCGTTGTCTCTTTACTCTTGCTGGTCACCGCTATCTTCACCGACCATTGGTACGAGACAGATACCAGAAGGCATAAGGAGAACTGCGACAAGTATGGTTCGGATTCTAATGACCAGAAAAACAGGGAGATGCCAATATACCACTTGCCTCTTGTGGACAACGGCAACTCCAAACGGAACGTGGCGCTTTTGAAGCCGATTCACGTCGGGAGTAGAGATGAGGAATTGCTTGAGAACTGGAGGGCGATACTGGGGATGGGGATTCTTGAGACGGAATGTGGGCGTCCGTTGTTCTCCACATATTCTGGACTGTGGAGAAAATGCTACTTTCAAGGCATGGACCGGGATATCGATAAACTCATATCAAAGGGTAAGTTTTAATGTGCATACTAAAAAGTGGGAGAAAAGAAAAACAGCTGTCAAATTTGCTGTCAATAATCCATGACTATAGGCAAGGACTGTTTTGCATTCCTTTAATCGAGGTAGCCTCCAACTGTGGTGATGTGTCTGCATACGTGCATTGCGTCAAAACAAGGTTTATGAGGGCTCATACACAACGGCTCATGATTATCCACGCCCAAACTAATTTCCAGGAATATTAATTGCTATTTCAAACTCATTACCAAGGTTTGCTTTAGTAGGCTACTATGATTTATATAACTGTCGCATCATGATGAGGGTGCTGGGAAATTACAGCCTAATGATTTAGGTTATTAATAGGCTAATTTATGAGGAACATTTTCACATTATTTCCCTCTCATTTTCCCACAGTGGTAATCGTTGTAGACTGGCCTTGGAAATGTTTGTTTGTGTTGTTATCCCAGTCAAATCATCAATAGAGCCATCCATAGGGCTACAAAAGCCTAAATGTTGATTGACTACACTTAGAAAAAGTACCCATAGGAAAACCCTTTTTGATTCCAGTTAAACCCATTTTGGTTCCAGGTAGAACTATTTTGGGTTCCATGTAAAACTCTCTGTGGAAAGGGTTCTACATGGAACCCAAAATGGTTCTACTTGGAACCAACAAGGGTTCTTCAAAGGGTTCTCCTTTGGGGACAGCCTAAGAACCATTTTAGGTTGTAGACCTTTTTTTCTAAGAGTGTACACACCCCTTTACCCACAAAGAACCCCTTTAGAAGCCATTTTTTATTCTAGAGGGAAAGGGTTCGGCATGGAATTCTACAGGGTTCTTAAGAACCTTCTCTATGGAAAAAAAAAGGATCTAAAATGTTTATTTGATTGAAAGGGTTCTACCTACAACCATAAAGGGTTCTCCAATGTGCTGAAGTTCAAGTCCCTACAAAGTTTTTTCAAGGTTGTAACTCAAAAAGTCGATCGGGATGAAAGGAGAACATTTCCCCACAGTGTCCAGTCCATCAAGATTAATGTCGCCCTGATTAAGCCGGGGGTTAAATGTCACCGAAACCCACTTGCCACCTTGCATTTAAAGCAGCTGAGGTGCTTACCTACCCTTTGGTTTATGTCAACGTTGATTTCATTTGAAATCTTCTTCAACCTGTGAAGGTGTAAGGTACTGTATTTATTTTCTTAGTTCACCTTGTGTTCTTGAACGTAGCCCTGTTTCTTTGTGTTCTTGAACGTAGCCCTGTCTTTAATTTTTGTTCATTGATTTCACCTGTGTTAGTTACTCACCTGGTCTCATCAGCTCCTTATTTAGTTCAGTTCTTTCTGTTTGTGCGTTGTGAGGTATTGTTCGTTTTGACTCTATTAAGCCTTTTCCTAGCTCGTTTGTGAGAACCAGCCTTCAGTCCTAGTTTTGTTTCACCTGTCTGTTTGCCTACCTGTGTATGACCATTGCCTGCCTGCGACCACGATTCCTGCCTTCTGTGAAGGCGTAATAAACACCTGCCGCGCTCTGCACGTGAATCTACACCTTTTTCTCCCTGAGTATTCATTACAGAATACCTCACCAAAAATGGAATGGATTCAGCAGAGCTACAGTGGCGCCTAACCCGGCAAGAGGAGCGTATGGAGGTAATTGGCCATCTTCTCCGCCAGCCTATCCCTACTCCTCCGATGCCTGGTATCATAACCCATAGCCCTCCTTCATTCATATCCATGCCTGGAAAATATGACGGTTCACCTGGGAAATGTCAGGGATTTCTGATGCAATGCAGCAAATGCATTGAGCACAACCCCACTAACTTCGCCACCGACAAGAGCAGGGTCGATTTTGTTGTGTCTCTACTCACAGGCAAAGCCCTGGATTGGGCCACCGCCATATGGACTGCCAACAGCACAGATCTCGGATCCGAGACCCATTTCCACACCTTCTTCAAAGAGGTATTCGATCACTCTCCTTCCGGTCGTCCTATAGGGGACCTCCTCATAGACCTTCAACAAGGACGCAATTCAGCTGCCGAGTATGCCCTCGAGTTCCGCACCATGGCTGCAGGGAGTGGATGGAGTGAGGCTGCTTTACTTACCGTCTACCGACGAGGGCTCAACAGGGAACTTCAAGCGGAGCTGGCCTGTAGAGGTGACCTTCAGGATTTAAATCAATACATGTATATCTCCATTGGCCACCTCATCGCCGACTGCCGAAGAACTCTGCCACCCAGGAACACGAAACCTTCTCTTTCCATGATTCCGTCATCCCGTCCGAGTCTTACATTTACATTTTAAAATGTTAGTCTTCCAGAGCCCATGCAGTTGGGTCATGCTCCTCTCCTGTGTATCGAACGTCAAAGGCGAATCCAAGAAGGGCTCTGCCTATACTGTGGAGGGAAAGATAATCTACTCAGCCATTGCCCTGTTGGAGAGATGAGAAGGATCCCTTCGCTGCCATGCAGGTAGGAGAGTCCGTATTTCTAAATATCTCCTAGAAGCAATTCTCCATCCCAGTATTGATAACCGTGAAGGGGGTTACGAAGTACGTAGAGGGCTTGATAGATTCGGGAGCAGCAGGTAGTTTTATCGATCACCAGCTAGTACAAAGCTTGACATTGATCTTACACCTGTCACCCCTCCCTTAAGGATTAACACCCTGGACGGGCAGCCATTGGGCACAGGTTTCATTACGCACCTGACACAGAGCATTACCCTCCAGATGGGAGTCTTCCACACCGAAACCATTCAACTCATGGAACTCTCAGCCCCCAAACAGCCACTCATCCTTGGACACCCCTGGCTTTGTCGTCACGACCCTGCCATCTCGTGGCGACAAGGTGAACTACTGTCCTGGTCTTCTACCTGCTTCACCAGTTGTCTCAGCCTACCCTGCAGAGCCACCACCATTGAGGACTCTGCCTCTGCAGCGCCACCCACCATACCATCTGAATACGCCCAGTACAGCAATGTCTTCAGTAAAATTATGGCCTCCACTCTGCCACCACATCACCCAGGGGGCTGTGCTATTGACTTACTCCCTGGAGAGTCCCCACCGAAGGGCCGTGTTTACGCCCTATCTATCCCGGAAAATGAGGCAATGGAGAACTACGTTGATGAAGCACTCAAACCGTTTCATTCGTCCTTCTTCTTCCCCAGCTGCTTACACCGCCTGGAGGTGTGTTGGGTTATTGTCCTGCTGAAAAACAAATGATAGTCCCATTAAGCCCAAACCAGATGGGATGGCGTATCGCTACAGAATGCTGTGGTAGACATGCTGGTTAAGTGTGCCTTAAATAAATCAGTGTCACCAGCAAAGCACCATAACACCTTCTCCTCCATGCTTTACGGTGGGAACTATACATGCGGAGATCATCCGTTCACCCACACCGCGTCTCAGAAAGACACGGCGGTTTGAACCAAAAATCTCAATTTTGGACTCGTGTTTCTTGGCCCAAGCAGGTCTCTTCTTATTATTGGTGTCCTTTTAGTAGTGTTCTCTTTGCAGAAATTCGACCATGAAGGCCTGACTCACACAGTCCCCTCTGAACAGTTGATGTTGAGATGTGTCTGTTACTTTATTTGGGCTGCAATTTCTGAGGCTGGTAACTCTAATGAGCTTATCCTCTGCAGGAGAGGTAACTCAGAGTCTTCCTTTCCTGTGGCGGTCCTCATGGGAGCCAGTTTCATCATAGCGCTTGATGGTTTTTGTGACTGCACTTGAAGAAACTTTCAAAGTTCTTGAAATGTTCCGTATTGACTGACCTTCATGTCTTAAAGTAATGATTGACTGTCGTTTCTCTTTGCTTATTTGAGCTGTTCTTGCCATAATATGGACTTGGTCTTTTACCAAATAGGGCTATCTTCTGTATACCCCCCCCCCCCCCCTACCTTGTCACAACACAACTGATTGGCTCAAATGCATTAAGAAGGAAATAAATTCCACAAATAAACTTTTAAGAAGGCACACCTGTTAATTGAAATGCATTCCAGGTGACTACCCCATGAAGCTGGTTGAGAGAATGCCAAGCGTGTGCAAAGCTGTCATCAAGGCAAAGTTGTGGCTATTTGAAGAATCTCAAATAAAATATATTTTGATTTGTTTAACACTTGTTTTATTCTACAATGTAGAAAATAGTAAAAATAAAGGAAAAACCCTTGAATGAGTAGGTGTGTCCAAACTTTTGACTGGTAGTGTATGTAATGTACTGTCATAAATAATAGCAGGTTCTAGGAAGAATCCTCAGAAGATAAAATGTTTCTTGGTAGAACCCTTCATAGAGGGCTCTTGGCAGAACCCTTCACAGAGAGTTCTAGGTAGAACCATGTACAGGGGGTTCTTTGAAGAACCCTACATAGAGGGTTCTAAATACAACTCTCTGTAAAGGGTTCTACCCAGCACCAAAAAGGGTTCCCTTATAGGGAGAAACCGAAGAACACTGTATGATTCTATTTAGCACCTTTTTTTCTAAGAGGCTAAGGCTACTCAACCTCATATCAAAGGAGTTGTCTCTTAGACCTTATCGGACCTAAATGGCAGCATAATGCCTTGATGAGCATCTTATTTACTCAGTGGCTGCATCTCAAATGGCACCTTATTTCCTGTAGTGCACTTATTTTGACCAGGGCACATAGAGCAATAGTCAAAAGTAGTGCACTATACACTCTTAGAAAAAAAGGTGTGATCTAGAACCTAAAAGGGTTCTTCAGCAGTCCCCATAGGAGAAACCTTTGGATAACCCTTTTTGGTTCTAGGTATAACCTTTTTGGGTTCCATTTAGAACCCTTTCCACAGAGGGTTCTACATGGAACCCAAACGGACTCTACTGTACCTGGAACCAAAAAGGGTTCTACCCAGGCTCCCAGTGTCCGGTCTGGAGCGTGAAGTCACGAGCTCTGCTGCTTGGCTACTGCGTAGTGACCTAGAGGTGCCAAAAGCCCTGGTCTGCCCTAGAAAACCTATGTAAATGGCGTAGTGACCTAGAGGTGCCAAAAGCCCTGGTCTGCCCTAGAAAACCTATGTAAATGACGATCGGCAGAACGGCCCCAAAAATCTTTGGACTGACGTTTTGGGCTCAAATGAGTTTATTATGATAAAGTTCGATCCCCACAGTGAATTATTTTAATGTTCGCTACAAATCGAGATATTTAATTAAATAGTGATCCATTCTGACTACTACATTTGTTGTCACGCCATGTGCTGACACAGACCAATCACGGCCGGCAGGCTAAGAGGAGGCTCCCAGTTGACTCTCTCAGGCAGGATGAAAACTACTACATCGACTATGATCCTTAGCGATTTATTTGGTGCCATTCTGCCCCATTCAGCAATATGGCGTGCTTAAAATAAAAATACTTCCGGCTTCATGTGCCATCGGGAGTTTTCCATAGGAATACGTGGGTGACGTCAGCGCTATCACTATGTACTGGTTTTAATGTCTATGGTCCTACCTGGAACCAAAAAGGGTGCTCCTATGGGGACAGTCGAAGAACCCTTTTGGAACCCTTTTTTCTAAGAGTGTATAGGGTATAGGGTGCCATTTGTGATACAGCCAGAGGCTGCGAGCAGAGCTACTAATATCTATGCAAAGGCATGGAGTGTTGGCTACTGTAAATAACCACCTCCTGATTCACTGAGCGTGAGAGATCAAACACAGGTGTGAGCGCTCACTTCAAAGTGCCTGCTCAATGATGAAAACAGCACCTGATGATGTTTCATAATTTCTACCAAGTATGAAATAGAAGCGGTTCCCATACATTAAGTAGATGTGGACCACAAGACTGATGTGTGTTAAGATTTTGAATAATAAAGTGTTTTAAAGAGCATCAGTGCTTCATTCGATGGGAAACTGTCTAGATTTTGTCCCACTAATTCAAGTTGTGGGAGCTCAGCCGGAAATAAGGACAGAAGGTCAAAGAGTCCGCCTCACCAGCAACATAGGACTCATGGGGCGTCTACTGTACTCTCATACAAGAAAGAGACAACATTTTACAGTAGCTCACATACAGAGACATCAGCAAAGGTAACTTGGTAACACTTTATAGGTAGCCTTTATAAAGGTACCTTTTCTAAACGGTTTATAACAGTTATTTCAACATTTGTAAATGCATTATAAACCCTTTAAAAAGGGTACCTTATAAAGTGTTACTGAGAACTCATTATGTAAACCTGTCAAAACCTGTCAAAACCTGTCCAGTTTGGAAAAATAACGAAAATAGGCAACAGCACAGGCCAAGTGAAATGAATTTGTCCTGCATATAGTTGATTACTCTACCAACTAAACTCTACAGTAGACTACAATGCATGCGTGAAAGGGAAACTGAACACCCAAGTCATAGGTTGCCTCAAAGCCAAGTAAATGTCACAGTGTTTACCCTTTTCAAACCAAGTTAGCCACTGCATGGAAATACAAGAGCTCTCTCAAATGTCAGTTTGAGGTAGGGTAAAAAAATGGAGTATTGCAATGGCCCTTTACAATGCGACCTGACAGATCAAATGTATAACACTGTTATAGGCATGCCCTGTATAATATGCAATTCCTGGTTTATGTCACCCAGTTTTTGTTAACGATCACTGACATAAAGCTGTCATGACATTAAACGTTAAATGAAACTTGTGTACAAGATTATAAATGTGTAAGCCTATCAAAACAATCCATTATAATATGGCATTATGCCATATACACTTTCTATGGCAACTTCAAGTAAAGATATGCAAGTAGGGCAAAAGTAATACGTTGTAATGTTAAAACGTAGAGCTTTTTAGTAATCCATTCTCTCCACAGGTATTGCGGACCGATGCACAACTGTCAAGTACCATTTCTCTCAGCCTATTCGGCTTCGAAACATCCCACTCAACCTGACGAGAACCATTCAGCAAGATGAATGGCATCTCTTACGTAAGTATTGCAGACTCAACGTCTCAGAACCACCTGCAATTACATTTCTATAGAGAGCAATAGTAATGGTGTCTTTTTGTAGGCACTAAAGGAGGCTAACTGCACAATGGCTCGTTGGCCAAAGCCTATGGGGAAAAAATAGGGGGGGGGGGGGGGGGGGTTTGGATAAGCGCCAAAAATAAGGTCTGTGGTAAGCATAGGCTTATGAGATCTTATACGTTTCGTTCTATGTGATAATCTTCCTCAGCTAACGTCACTTTGTGAATTTTTAACCATTTATGTAATCAAAACAAGCACATAAAGCACATAAATACTTTATAATTCATAAAGGTAATGTAAACTGACTGATATTATCTCATAGAACATAACATATAAGATCTCCTAAGCCTGTGTTAACTTCAGATCTTATTTTCAGTGTTTATCCTAAAATCCCATTCTTTCCCCATTAATTTCCCCCATAGCAATGTCCAACAAACCAGAGGTAGAAAGGCTATCTCATTTCCGGTTTGGTCTGGGCCAGAGTCTTTCGAACAATGGTTAGATGGTCTTGGTGTGAGAAGTTTGATTCCAGGTGCCCCACGACTGACCTATGTTGGTGTCTGCGGTGGGATGGTCAGACGTCTGTCATGAGTAGTGTTAGGATCCTTTAAGATGAGCTTTTCCAGGTAGTCGTTGGTGCAAAAACTTTCATCTTACGGATTTGGGGCACATTTCTACCACCATCTTTCCTCAAACAATATAATTGTATCACTACCCATATTATTTCCATTATTTATTGGGGAATATCTTTACTGTTACTTGCTCTTCCCATCCCTTGTATTGTGTATTTGTTTAAATAAATAATTACATGTTTTGTATATGTTTTTCAATGCTTCATACAGTACTGTAGACTAAAGGTTCTGAACATGTCTGTTGTGTTTAGGTTTGATAATGAAATAACAGTGGAAGTCCAAATCGCAGTGTTCCATATTAATTTGGCTTCATGCTGTGGAACCTTTAGAACCTTCAGACAACCATAGTGATCTCTTCAGACAACCGTAGTGATCTCTTCAGACAACCGTAGTGATCTCTTCAGACAACCGTAGTGATCTCTTCAGACAACCGTAGTGATCTCTTCAGACAACCGTAGTGATCTCTTCAGACAACCGTAGTGATCTCTTCAGACAACCGTAGTGATCTCTTCAGACAACCGTAGTGATCTCTTCAGACAACCATAGTGATCTCTTCAGACAACCGTAGTGATCTCTTCAGACAACCGTAGTGATCTCTTCAGACAACCGTAGTGATCTCTTCAGACAACCGTAGTGATCTCTTCAGACAACCATAGTGATCTCTTCAGACAACCATGATCTGTAATAAGGCTACTACTGTACCCACATGCTGAAAATGTTAAGCTAACCTTTCGAAGCTAGCATTCCTACTCCAATGTCCGACCCCTGATTGGTGGATTGCTACATGGTTATGGAAAATGTTCACGGGGAGGAAGTAAATGTCAGCTCGTACAAGAAAAAAATATTAATGTAAATGTAACTCCACACAGTCTATTATTACTGCACAACCAGTCTGAGGAAGAACATTCATCAAAGTCAAAATAGGATTGGTTTTCTTTGTCTGCCTGCCACCTTTAGACAGTGCTTGCATCCCAAATGGCACGCTATTCCCTATTAAGTGCACTACTTTTGAGTGCACAATTGTTCCCTATTAAGTGCACTATGTAGGGAATAGGGTGTTATTTGGGACGCAGACAGTGTTTTTCTTGCTCGAGTTTGATCCTGTTTTAGGATACTGCAACTCGATCTGACAAATGTATGAGATGCAGAGTAGGCTTAAACCATTTTGGGGAAAGAATAGTATTGGATACAGTGAGGGGAAAAAAGTATTTGATCCCCTGCTGATTTTGTACGTTTGCCCACTGACAAAGACTTGATCAGTCTATAATTTTAATGGCAGGTTTATTTGAACAGTGAGAGACAGAATAACAACAAAAAAATCCAGAAAAACACATGTCAAAAATGTTAGAAATTGATTTGCATTTTAATGAGGGAAATAAGTATTTGACCCCTCTGCAAAACATTACTTAGTACTTGGTGGCAAAACCCTTGTTGGCAATCACAGAGGTCAGACGTTTCTTGTAGTTGGCCACCAGGTTTGCACACATCTCAGGATTTTGTCCCACTCCTCTTTGCAGATCTTCTCCAAGTCATTAAGGTTTCGAGCCTGACGTTTGGCAACTTGAACCTTCAGCTCCCTCCACAGATTTTCTATGGGATTAAGGTCTGGAGACTGGCTAGGCCACTCCAGGACCGTAATGTGCTTCTTCTTGAGCCACTCCTTTGTTGCCTTGGCCGTGTGTTTTGGGTCATTGTCATGCTGGAATACCCATCCACGACCCATTTTCAATGCCCTGGCTGAGGGAAGGAGGTTCTCACCCACGATTTGATGGTACATGGCCCCGTCCATCGTCCCTTTGATGCGGTGAAGTTGTCCTGTCCCCTTAGCAGAAAAACACCCCCAAAGCATAATGTTTCCACCTCCATGTTTGACGGTGTGGATGGTGTTCTTGGGGTCATAGGCAGCATTCCTCCTCCTCCAAACACGGCGAGTTGAGTTGATGCCAAAGAGCTCGATTTTGGTCTCATCTGACCACAACACTTTCACCCAGTTCTCCTCTGAATCATTCAGATGTTCATTGGCAAACTTCAGACGGCCCTGTATATGTGCTTTCTTGAGCAGGGGGACCTTGCGGGCGCTGCAGGATTTCAGTCCTTCACGGCATAGTGGGTTACAAATTGTTTTCTTGTTGACTATGGTTCCAGCTGCCTTGAGATCATTGACAAGATCCTCCCGTGTAGTTCTGGGCTGATTCCTCACCGTTTTCATGATCATTGCAACTCCACGAGGTGAGATTGACAGTTCTTTTGTGTTTCTTCCATTTGCGAATAATCGCACCAACTGTTGTCACCTTCTCACCAAGCTGCTTGGCAATGGTCTTGTAGCCCATTCCAGCCTTGTGTAGGTCTACAATCTTGTCCCTGACATCCTTGGAGAGCTCTTTGGTCTTGGCCATGGTGGAGAGTTTGGAATCTGATTGATTGATTGCTTCTGTGGACAGGTGTCTTTTATACAGGTAACAAACTGAGATTAGGAGCACTCCCTTTAAGAGTATGCTCCTAATCTCAGCTCGTTACCTGTATAAAAGACACCTGGGAGCCAGAAATCTTTCTGATTGAGAGGGGGTCAAATACTTATTTCCCTCATTAAAATGCAAATCAATTTATAACATTTTTGACTTGCGTTTTTCTGGATTTTTTTGTTGCTATTCTGTCTCTCACTGTTCAAATAAACCTACCATTAAAATTATAGACTGATCATTTCTTTGTCAGTGGGGAAACGTACTAAATCAGCAGGGGATCAAATACTTTTTTCCCTCACTGTATGTGATTTATGATCAATGTGTCATAATGTTGTTACAGTATATCATAAATTGCATGAATTTAATATTTCTATCAACATATCCCGCTATAACACTTTTGTGTGTTGTGTGACATAATGCTTGCGATAACATGTACTGAAAAACAAGGCACAATGCTGTCATGATGCATTAGGGAAATCATTCAAATTCACCTATTTTTAACAGTCGTTGCTGGCCATTTTACGTTATGATAGGCGTCATGTCGTTCTTATGGCAGGTTTGTAACAAATGTAGGACAGGGGAGACCAAAAGCAAAGCATTACCTAACAAAAACAAAAATGTCCCGTATTTGTTTGGTGACTGTTGAGTGGTAGCACAAGCGGGTTTACCAGGGGGTGGTTGTCATGGAAATGTTGGTGTATGCGTGTGTGCTAATGGTTTCACTTGTGTGTGTGCACTTGTGTGTTTGTATGCTTTGTGTTTATCTGTGTGTGTGTGCTTATGTGTGCTTATGTGTACGCTTTTGTATATACTGGTGTCTGTATCTTTGTGTGCTTGCTTGTGTGTGTGTGTGTGTGTGTGTGTATGTGCATGCGTGCTATGTTTATATGTGTGTGTGTCTCAGATCTGCGGCGAATCACGGCGGGGTTCCTGGGGATGGCGGCTGCCGTTTTGCTGTGTGGCAGCATTGTGGCCACAGTGGGCTTCTTTTGGGAGGAGAGCCTCACCCAGCACGTCTCCGGTCTGCTCTTCCTCATGGCAGGTACAACGCCTGCCAACTACCAACACCCTACCTCTCCTGTGTGTGTGTGTTAGGGCTTTCTTTGCCAATGACCTACCTATCCTGTATGTGTGTGTGTTAGAGAGAGAGAGAGAGAGAGAGAGAGAGGGAGAGAGAGAGAGAGAGAGAGAGAGAGAGAGAGAGAGAGAGAGAGAGAGAGAGAGAGAGAGAGAGAGAGAGAGAGAGAGAGAGAGAGAGAGAGAGAGTGTGGCTCTCTTTCCCTCTCATTGTTGGTTTCTTTGTGATGGCAGCTTTCAACTTCTGTCTCTCTGTGCCACTTTTACTGCAGCCTATCTCTATATCTCCATCTTTAGTTTTCTCTCTCTCTCTCTCTCTTGTCCAAATCTTCCTCCCAAGTGTTCATCAAACACATACAGTAAAGGCTCTTTTTTAGCAGAATTTGTAAATGCCTAATGCGTACAGATGCATTCATAATACATTACACACAGGTGTTAATATGCATAATAAAACATGCCATAGGCATTCATAATAGCTCATCGCTACAAACAGGAGGCTGCTTCTACGGTTGTAAACATTCCTATAACATATTTATAACATTACACAATAGGGTAGCTAATTTGCCATTGCAGTTGTGTTTTAGATTTCCTTTCAACTAGTGTTTTTTTTGTCTATTTATTGATGTTATACTCATGAATTTCAGTTCCATGTGGATGGTTATTTAAAGTGGCAATCCGGGATTGGTACCTTCATTTTTCGACTTTAAATGAATAAAATATAGCCATTGATTCTTGAAGAATATAACTTATAAATGCCTCATGATCTTACTTCAACCGTCTTACCTGTCTTTTGTTGTTATTTGAATCCTGTATTGCCTCTTTAATAAAAATCTTGGAACTAACAATTTATCCCCTCCAGGGATCTTCTGCACGATCTCCTTATGCACCTACGCTGCCAGCGTCTCCTACGATCTCTCCCGGAACCCACCCTTCATCTATGGACTGCCCGGCGACGTGGACCATAGCTACGGCTGGTCCATCTTCTGCGCCTGGGTAAGCCTGGGACTGACCGTGGCGTCGGGCTGCCTCTGCACCACCTACCCCTTCCTCAGCCGAACAAAGGCCCTGCGCTCCAAAACCGCTCGGGAGTCCTCGGTATAAGTGTTATGATCAGTGTGACAGAATTGAGTGCCCCCTGTAGCTTCGGAGGTGAATTGTTGGTGTGGACGTTTTGTTGCTGACTGAAGACCAATATAAGAGGAGACGTTTTATTTTTATGAAACCAGAGATGAAAACATAGTGTTTCAGTGAGATGTGGGAATCTTGTTGGTCTTTTTTGTAGACTCTCACCATCCTTTATCGAGGTGTTATGCAAAGTGCAGGTATTATGATGTATTATTTATGTTTGTATGTGCACACAGGTAAACTCACACATACATATGGACCTACACACGTGTAGACAAACACACACACAGTCTCTCTCTGTCTCTCTCTCTCTCTCCAAGACATGGAGAACAGCATGAGAGTGAATAACATAAAACGATGCAAATACCCACACAGCCATACCACACACACATAAAATATGTGTATATATATTACCATATATACAAAAAAAGCATAATTCTTATGGGTGGTTTGGTAAGATTGAATCAAATGGACATTGTATAAAAATACTAGTATCACTTTGAAAGCAAGAACCCTCTTTTTTTTCAGATGTAAGTGGTACATTTTCAAAACTCTTAAGTACAAAATTCTAAACTGATAACACCTTTGATTGTGCAATCATGAAATACCATGTGCACATTTTGTTTAGTCACCAATACATCAGATAATGCTAGGCTCACCATGTAGTCATTTCAACTACCATTTTCAGTTGTTGTTTTTTTCAATCACTTTGGTGCAATTTTCACTAGTATGTGGGACATTTTCACAACAAACAAATTCACAAAGTCACTTGTTCACTGCACCAAATCACTCTTTCAATTTGGATACATATTCAATCTAAGTATCTGCTTTTCAAAATGCAATATTCACTTTACTTTTTATATGAGTTTTTTGTCAGTTGTTAACAATACAATAAACTATCACTTAATCAAACTGCTCAAAACTGATAACTACTGAACCACAATTATGTACTGCCTAGTTAACGTATATAGTTTGATAACTGTTGAACACTGTAAATGTCTATATGTTTACCTAAATGTATCAATTTGACCTCAATTTATGTTGGAAGGTAAAAGCAAATCATATATGGATGTGGCTGTAAATACTACATCATTCTCCATCAGCCAGTGTGCTCCAATAGGACAAAAGGAAAAGAGTCACTCTATGTGCTACCATTTGGAATTATAGTGTAGTGTACAATGCACTGCTGAAATACCTGGGTTATATATAACAATACATTCCACTCATTATCAGAATTTCATTGATACACTGTAAGCTGATTAATTTCAAGCAGAGAGACAAGCACTACTGTATCAGTCGACAAGTCCCGTAAAAAAAAGAAGGTGATCTTGTACAATGTTTGATGGGGCACAAATGGCATACAACACCGTGCTATGTTTCTACAGTAGCCAAACTGCTTTACAATATCCCTATTTCTGATGATTTGTCCTACGTGTGTACTGTATAAGGATAATGAAACTGTAAGACTGACATATTTCTCAACATGCTCACAACCTGCCATTGGATACAAGTTATAGTCAAACACTGTATGGAAAATTATATTTACCATCTACTATTCTTTCTATTCAGCACTTAAAAAAGAACCGTTTTGAAATGTGTATCTTGTATTTTTTGCTGTTGGATGAAATTATAGTTTAAATGACTAAATGGTGAGCCTATCACTATTTAATGTATTGGTGACAAAATGAAATGTTCTCATGGTATTTCACGGAATATTCAGAGGTGAAAGATGTGTGAAACCCCAATGAATGCACAACCAAAGGTTCTGAACATAAGACAGGGGGCATTACAAGTGTTATCAGTTTAGAGTTTTGAAAATATACCACTTACATCTGAAAAATGTGCCAAAGTGATTGAAGAAAAACAATACAAAATACACATTTCAAAACTGTTATTTTTTAATTGCTCAATAGAAAGAATAGTAATTTTCCATACAGTATTTTTTATTTTTGTCATTTAGCAGACGCTCTTATCCAGAGCGACTTATAGGAGCAATTAGGGTTAAGTGCCTTGCTCAAGGACACATCGACAGATTTTTCACATAGTCAGCTCGGGGATTAGAACCAGCGACCTTTCGGTTACTGGCACAATGCTCTTAACCACTAAGCTATTTGACAATAACTTAACATACCATTTTTTAAATCATTTGTATCCAATGGCAGGTTGTGAGCATGTTGAGAAATATGTCAGTTTAACAGTTTCATTATCCTTATACAGTACATACGTAGGACAAATCATCAGAAATAGGGGTATTGTAAAGCAGTTGGCTACTGTAAAAACGTAGTATGGTGTTGTATGCTATTTCTGCCCCATGCAACATTGTACAAGATCACCTTATCTACGTGACTTGTCAACTGATACAGTATCGCCTGTCGCTCTGCTTGAAATTCATCAGCTTACAATGTACCAATGAAATTCAGATGATGAGGGAAATATATTATTGTACACAATACAGGTATTTCAGCACTACACTATAATTCCAAATGGTAAGGGGACTCTTTCCCTTTTGTTCTATTGGAGCACACTGGCTGATGAAGAATGATGATGTAGTATTTACAGCCACATCCATATAAGATTTGGATTTCCCTTCCAACATAAATTGATGTCAAATTTATATATTTATGAGGTAAAAATATAGAAATGTACAGTATTCAGCAGTTATTGAACTGAATACGTAAAGTAGGCACTACATAATTTTGGTTCAGTAGTTATCAGTTTTGAGCAGATTTATTAAGTGATAGATAATTGTATTCTTAAGAAATTACAAGGAAAGTAAAGTGAATAATGCATTTTGAAAAGCAGATACTTACATTGAATATGTATCCAAATTGAAAGACTGATTTGATGCAGTGAACAAGTTTGTGAATTTGTTTGGTGTACTCAGTCAATTGAAAATGTGCTTAGAGATTTGAAACATGAGCCATTTTGATTACAGTATCTGTTTTGATTTTTGTGCTTGGAGTTTAGAAAATGTACCACATACTTGTGAAAATTGCACCAAAGGGATTGAAAAAAACTGTAATCGATCCGATGGATTCTATTGGTAATTTCAGTTGTGGCAATGAAATTGTACAACATTTTTTGCAAATCCATCATTAACCAGTCCCTTCCCAAACAGATGAGGCATAATCACTAATAATATCAAAATGTGTGCCAGACTGTGAGAAGAATACTGACAATGATAGACAAAGGACTACAGGGTTTGTTGCTTACAACGTTGAGGAAAGTCATTTTTCTCGTTCATGGACACAAATGGTGCACAATTCTACATTGGAATGTGAAAACAGTGGAAACTGGATGAGATGATGTCGACACTGCTTGAATGGATGTAAAATGTTTGTGTTGGACCATCATCACACATGTTCTGAGCAGCCAAAAAAGTGACCCGCTGCTCCATGGAATGGCCAGCTTTCGCAACGACTCCATCTGATGCCACTCTCGCCCTTTTCAATGCCACTGGAGGACCTAGAAGGCTGTGGGGACCTTGAATGGCTTGTGGGGACATGAAATGACTTGTGTGGACCTTGCAGGTTATGTATGTTCAACTCAGCATGCTGTGTCAGAAGCAGAGCAGCATTTCTGAAACAGAACAATGAGCTTCAAGTCTTCTCTATGACATTTAAATTGAGCTGTAAATAAAAGATGATCAACAAGAACGTATCTTAAGAGTTTATGACATACCTTATGTTGAGCTTTGTCTCGCTGTGTTATCTGTGTTACAAAGGCCTGCATGATGCTGCACTTTCAAGACCCCCTTATAATGTCATATAATCATATCATAATGATCCTTACTAAATGCACCATTTCGCATCAGTTGAAATGTTGTTAAAGACAAAACATATTTTATTCTAAGGTATTATAAAGGACTTTATGCGCTCATTACAAAGTCTTGTCAGTATACCATTGTAGCACATCAGAGCATGGTTTAACTAGCAGATACCAGAGATATTGTGCAGTATTGCCATAATAGTCTATGTTGGGAGCTGGGAGTAGTGTCTGGGTGCAATGCTGTTCAGTGTCCAAGGTGCTGAAATCAGCAATCAGCTCTCTTCTATTTTTACCTCAAATAGCAGTACTGTCCATGGTTCTGAAACATTATTTATGTGTGCACTGTTTTAATTGCACAATTTGGGATTAGCACAGGTTAGATATAAATGCCTTAATTTTACCTGCTGCTTTCCCAATAGTCACCACATCAGGCTCAAGATCACTCAAGATTTACTTTGAAATTGGACTTCTGTCCATGTCCTAAGGACGACGGCAAATGCCTTCAAAACCGCACACTATGGGCAACAGTGAACGCTATTACCATCAAGTAGGCTTGGGTTTTGCTAGGGCGTTGTGTACGGGGTGGCAGATGGGCGTAATCTCATGACTCCGGATCTGAAGGTTGCGTGTTTAATCCCAGTGGTACACACTCATTTTTTAATTGTTTTCCGTATTACAAACCTTAACCCTTAACTTAACCATTCGGAATGAATGCCTAAACTTAATGTTTTGACCTTATCCAAAACCTTAACCCTTAACTTCGAAATTTGAGGTTTGGAGAAACAGAATGATGCTGAGCAGGAGGAGACGGCTATATTGGTTCGCTAATACAGGACTATTAAAGGCCCAGTGCACTACTTTTGTGGAGACATTTTTTCCCTCAGAACGTTATATATTTTCAGGGGTTGCTGAGGGTGCACCCCTACTTCCCGCGGCTATGAATTCAGACCAGCCTTCCTGATTGAACTTTCATAAACTACATTAGTAGAAAGTGGACTGGTTTGGCCTATGACAACCACTCTAAAAAGTCAAATAAATTATCTTCCCAGAGCCTTTCAAATCAAGATGTCCATTTATTAAAGACTCTCTTCAGCTATTTTTTTTACTTTCCCCATTGGAAAACTATATTCAGAGTATAAATACAGTAAAGTACAGGCACGTAAGGGTGAAGTACACATACTTGAGCAAAATAGTGTTTTTCAGAATAATAAAAAATTGTATTCAAGGAGTTGGTCTCTCTGATGGGTGCACTCTGATGTCATCAGCATTCCCCCTTGATTGCTGGAACAATAGAGGAGCAGTAGAGGACAAAGGCCCACCCACGCACTTGTGCCATGTCATGAGGAGATCTGCACCAGCTACTGAAATGGCACCTTTCGTAAGTATCTTACATTTTACATTTTAGTCCATTTAGCAGACTCTCTTATTCCCGAGCGACTTCCATTATATATATATATAAATAAAACAACGCATACTCCCGTTGGGAATCGAAACCTCACCACCCGGGCTTGCAAACGCATGCTCTATCAACTGAGCTACCTCC